CTATTTTGAAAATGCGATGAGAGATTACGTGATTTGTCAGGTCATATATAGGAAGTGGTAGAGCCAAGATTTGAACTGAGAACATTTGAATTCAGAATCTATGCTCTTAGTCATAATGCCAAGAATGTAGCTTCCCAGAGGGGAGACCCAGAGCCAAACTTCCACAACTCATGGGTCTCTGACTCATTTCAGAACCTCTTCAGTATAGGGTTTGTGAGCAGGCAGAAGGAGCAGTGCTGTGGCCCAGACATGGAGAGAGTATTGGAGGAAGACCCCAAAGCCTGATTGCCTCCCTCTACTCCCTTTCCAGTTGGAGATGCCCAGATCCTGACAACCTGGAAAGAATGCCATGCCAGACCTCTCATACTAATTGGCTTAACAAACCATACTTATCTGGGCAAAGCTGGGCCCATGAGTTCAAGATTAGGGAAAGCAGGATTCATGGTTTACCACTCCACCGCCCACAGGGTCAGAGGAGACAGGGTTAGGACTGTAATTGGCTTAACAGCCTTTAGTGGCTTAACAGCTCAGAGGGTTGGCAGAGGGAGGGAGGGATGATGACACAGGCTGGTGACCAGCCCACAGCCAGATTTGTGCCCTACCAAATGATCTGTTTGCTCTATCTCAGGGACTCAATCTGTCACTTCATGGAGACATTGTTCTGGGATTCCCTAATACAGCTGGTGATGCCAGCGGCAGAATTGGGCTTGGGAATTAGACAAAGCTGGGTAGATTTCACTTCTCCCTGGCTTACTCATGGGTGAACTTGGATAAATTACTTGACTTCTCTGAGCATCACTTCTTTATCTGATACATGGGTGTATCAGTAGCCAGAAGAGGGAACATAAGATGAGATTGCATGCCTGGAACACCTCACATGGGGCCTGCTGGGACACGGTAGGTGTGCAGTGTTTGTGAATTTCCCCATTTTATATTTAAAGTAATAACGCCATTTTTTTTCTTTAGTATTGGAGATTGAACCCAGTGCAAGCCCAGACTTTTTCTTTTCCTTTTTTTAAAAAAATTTTTTGAGAAAGGGTCTTGCTGTCTACGGCCCTGGATGCGCCTGATCTCATCTGATCTTGGAAGTTAAGCAGGGTCGGGCCGGGTTAGCCCTTGGATGGGAGAAGGGGTCTTGCTTAATTGTCCAGTCAGGACTTGAACTCACAATTCTCCTGCCTTAGCCTGTTGAATAGCTGAGATTATAGGTATATGCCACCATGCCTGGCTTAATAATAACGTCTTCTGTGTAAAAGGGCCTTATCAATTATGAAGAAGTTGCTGGAGGTTATAAAGAATGCCCACAAATGCATTTCTTTTTGTTGATACTATTTTTAAAACTCTTAATTAGTAGTTGAAAATTGGTAGAGTTCATACAAAAATCCCAGTTTCCCATTTCTCTTGAGAAATCAAGACCTGACAATGTTGGGGTCCCAATTTCTTGTGGTACTGATAGTGTAGCCGTGTAGCAGTTCCTCTTGTCAGAACGCTTCTCCCCACAATGTCCTGTCTGACACTCCATGTACTCTATGCCTGTGTTATCCACCCGATTCCTCAAAGCATTTGACTTTTGATTTGGCATTGCACAAGCCAAAATTGAAAAATATCTTCATGTGGGATTAGGAGGTGAATAACTCACCAGTCTCTAATATTTGACCCTGCAGGGGTCCTATACACACCTCTTCATTTCCCTGGCTTCACTACTCAGAACGTATGCAAAAACTTCTTAGTATGGGAAGCGAACATGTATGCCAACATTGTTTAATTTCCAGGAATGACCATCCCAGGGGCTTCCATATACCTTTTCTGGATTTCCCCCCATTTAGTAAGACCTTCAGTCATTTTAGAATCTAAAGCTCATGAGGAAAATGCCCGGAGACCTAAATTCTGATAATATATCCAGCATCAGAATTCCAGATTAGTTAGTGTGACTTAATGTGGATTTTTCACTTCCAGCAACCATTCCCATGAAATCTCCTTGAATTGATGGCAGAATGTGAATTCAGAGAGAAGAGTCAGCTGTTGGTAATCCCTTTCCAGCTCTCTGCAGACCCTAGCCTCACTTCTCTTTAAGTGATCTCTATTCTGTTCAGCCAGTGAAGAACACAGCAGGTCACTAACTCAATTAAGAACCTCTCTGGGGTGCAGGGCTTGTTAGGAGACAGGGGGAGCAGTGCTGCAGTCTAGACGTGGAGGGGATATTTGAGGGAGATCTCAAAATCTAATTAAACCACCTTAACCTGATCCAAGCAGCTGTTGGGTTCCTAGCAGCATGCTAGGACATCATGAGGCACCAGAAAGGTATATTCCACCCTTTAAAGTCATCAAATCTAATCTTCTCACTCCACATACAGGGAAACTGAGGCTCAGAGATGTGGAAACCCGAACCCAAGGTCATTTACAAACCAAGATAAAGATGCAAGACTCCCAAAAGTACCCGTGCAACCCAGCACTTTCTCCACAATATACAGTTTCCTTATCCTTACCCACATGGTGTAACTCCCTCCCCCTCTTTTTATTCTTATCTCAATGCAACAGAAGCTTGACTTTCTATCATCCTGGGATCTTGGAATTTCAGACTCATAATTCTTCAAGCTTGGGGGACACTACAGTGGTAGAACCACAAGATGGATAAATTGAACTCAGATTTTGAAGACAGAGAATCTTGAATCCCCGATATTCCAGTCCCTTGCTGTGTGACCTTGGGCAAGGATGCCCTCTCTTAGCCTCCATCCCCTCATCTTTCAAGTAAAAATTATAACACTAACCACATGATAGGCTCATTAGGAGGGGTGCAGGAGGTGTAACAGGTAAAAAGGCAACCAATAGGCTTGGTACAAAATGAGTCCTTAATAAAACAATTGTTATATAACTGTAAATTAGGGCTCTCATGACTAATTAAATGCCCAAGAGAATGGCCCAGGTGGAATGAAAGGGAAGAATAGACAAACTACTGCACACATACCCTGTCTAGGTTGTTCCCTGTCTGAGACTTCTAGAGCTAAATTTCCCCCCAAAAGAATGTAGGACTCTGAGTATTAAAAATACTATACAGTGCAGGGGATTTAGCTCAGTGGCACTGCACCTGCCTGGCAAGTGCATGGTCCTAAGTTCGATTCCTAGTACAAAAACAAAACAAAACCACCACCACAACAACAACAAAAAACTATAATTTACACAAAACTTCCATGGGCCAGATTCCACTCGTGGCCATTAGATTGTCATTCCTGCAAAATCATCTCATCCCAAGCTTCTCACTTAACAAGTGAGGAATGGTAGAAATTGTGGAAATCACTCTTTTATCTGAGAAACCATGGAACTCAGTGGACCCTTAGCAATTTCCAGCCACTCTCTTTCATAGCTCTTGCCTGTGGTCATTTTTTTTTTTGGCTCTACTTGAGGGAAACTCAGTCTGTGTCCAAGAAAGAAGAGATCTATTAACTATTAGCTTCTTATAAGTGGATTCTGAATGGGGAGGAGGGCAGCCAGTGAGTCATAGGGCAGCTGGCCCACTTTAGACTGGAGGGAAAGGGGGATAAAGCTTTGGCTACCAAGAATAGGAAGTTACCATTTCTGAACTAAAAATAACTTTCACCATCTGTCCACTCAGGCACAGAATGATAAATGCAGATTAGTTCCTGGATGTAGACAAGAATTTTTTATGTGTCAAGCTAATAAAAATACTACTACCTTGTGTTGATAGTGCTACACTCCTTTTGTCCCCCCAGGGCAGCTAAGTGGAAATACAGATCTTCTTGGCAGACAAAAATGGGGAAACCAAGGCGAAAAGAGACTCAACAACACAGCATGTGTGACACAGCAAGTGAGCAGTTGGGACAAATCCTGGGTGTCCTTCTTTCAACCCTCAGCCCAGAACTAGATCTTCTGAGTTAGGCAGACTGCATTAACAAGTAGCAGAATAAATATAACAACAGCAGTGATCACCCTTTATATCTGTAGAGAGAATTTTCCCATGCTTCCACATCTGTTATAACCATCATAATCCATCACATTCCCAAAATATATTCCAGTCTGCAGGGTCCTTGCACAGACCTTCTCTTTCCTGACCACTCCAACAGGTAAGAAAAATGTAATGGTAAGCCAATGAAAAGAGCAGAGATTCTCCCTCATTTTATAGCTGAATAAGCGGATGTGGAGGGAGAAGGAGGTTTGCCTACGATCATACAGTAAATGAATGCATTTTGTCACTGCACAGTAGAGCTCAAAGTACTAGAGCAATTCAGATCCAAGAGGAGCCCTAGGTTTAGAGTTCCCCCTCTCTCCAATTAATTCAGCACAGCACGCAACCTCAGTTCTGGCAAAGGAAGAAACCTGAAAGTGAGCAGCTTGAACAAAGCCTCAGCTTTGCTGTACCATCCTAGGATCAAAGGGCACCTAGTGGTCATCAGATTCAAGACGCCAAGTCCCCTTGGCCCTTTTGGAGGAAGAGGGCACTGAGAGAAGCTAGAAACCTTCCCAGCTGGATCCAGCATACCCTTTCTCAAAAAATTGAAGAAGTTTAGATGGGATAGTCACTTAGCTGCCTCAAATTCTGTCTCTCCTGGGAGGTTGGGGATAGACTGCAATTCAAAATTGAGCTTCAAGAGCAAGGAAGGACTTCTGAGCTCTTTCCTAAGTTCAGGCTCGGGACACAGAAAGAGAGGGAGGGTTAGGGCTGGAAGAAGTCCCGTGGCCCTATTCCAAGCCTCACATTTATCCTCACAAGCCCTGGGTCCTCCTCGCTCACACACCCTGAGGAGAATATCTTCCTCTCACTTATGGGCCCATCCCCTCCTTGTGGATTGGGAAGGATGGCGGGGGGCGGGTAGAGGTCAGAAGGACCCGACTAAAAGGAAATTAAAGATACAATGGGGTGGGGTGGGGCGGAGTTCAGGGCAGGAAGGGTTTCTTGGAAAGGTCAGAGCCGGGCTGGGGTGGCAGGCAGCTCCTTGTCACCCCCACTCCTCGGATTCCGCTCCCTTCACCTGCTTTTCTCCTACCTCCAGACCTGGCCGAGCTGCAGGAGGTGGACGAAGGTCTGCAGTAGCCAGACGCAGAGGCGACAGCAGCGGCGACGGTAGGAGCTGGCGGAGGAGGGCCGGGGACCCAGCTCAGGACCTCCTTCGTCGGTTTGGAAGGCGGTGCTGTCCTTGGTGCTGATGGCGGGCCCGCCGGTGCCGCTGTCCTTGGTGCTGACAGAGGGTCCTGGGGTCCCCACGGGCTCGGAGTAGTCGTAAACGAACCAGCGGAAGCTGAGCAGCTGCACGACCAGAGAGGGCAGGAGCACGAAGAGCAACGTGAGGCCGAAGACGGTGGGCTGACCCTGCAGGTAGTAGGAGGCCGCCAGCCACAGGTCCGTGGCGCCGTCGGAGAAGAACACGAGCAGCGCGCACAGCACCCAGCAGCAGTCCCGC